TTTTAATAAGATGATAGTTATGTTTACTCTATAACTATGTTATGTTGTTGGGTCGGGCTAAGTTGTAAAGCCATTAGATTTTCGGGTTTCTTTTGAGCCATCCACCGGTCTATATCAGGACTAGTTATCTTGTTAATATATAAAAAATATTTATTAACTGAGCAGCCATCGACTTTTTTAGGAGCCCGGTTCACAACAAAAAAAAATAAAAAAATTGAAAGAAATAATTTAAAGTTCGTACTTACTTGATAATTTATATCATTCGCATCAATTGGTCTTATAAAATTAAATAGTAAATGTTACGATGAAATCCCTCCCTATATATTACTTCAAAAGGTGTTAAACTTAAGTGGCGAGTTCACAAGCTTCGGATGTTGACATGGCAAAACTCTATACTTCGGAATGTTATTTGTATATTATTTATTTTGCGTTGGAATTAGGCTTGGTATAAACATAAATAACTTTTTTCAAACTTCGTAATTGTACATTTAATTTTGTTATTTTTTTCTCTTAGTACAAATTTCTTTCTTAATCTTGGCAAGTAGCAATTTTACCATCTTATAATTTTTTCTCATATTTCTCTCCTAAATTACGATTTACAAATCACTGTCTGCACTGTCTATTCTTTTTTTTTTTTCATTAATTAGTCAATCAAAATTTATAAATAAAATTTAATTTAGCAATAATTTTTATAATATATTTTTTAACTCAACACCCGTGTAGTACACGGGTATTGTATTATTATAATGCTAATACAAAAAAAATAAAAGTTGTAGTTTTAGTTTATTTTTAATTTCACGTTCTGTTATATGGAAGAATGTGACATTTCACACAAAGTTTGTATTTCGATTCAAAATTATGTATGTTTAGAAGGGATTAATCAAGCTTAATATCTAATGATGCTAATTTGAATTTTTTCCATAAGAAATTTCGAGAGAATGTATTAGTTGAGAATTGAGATTCAATTCTTGCCTTGTCCCATAATTACGAGGATATATGATTGTGCAAACACACAAAGGGCCTGATAAACAAGGGGACCATGGCATTGAATTTGAAGGCTATTTTATTTTTTAGCCATATTTTGTATCTCTATATACACATCCTCTCTTATTACAGCTCTTAGGAGTTAGTTTCCAGGTTGTGAAAAGGGCCCTTTGATTGCATATTAACTAGTTTAATTCATTCTCAAATTTCCAGTCATTGCCTACTTGTGGACCATATTGACCCACTAATAATAATAATAATGATAATAATAATAATAATAATAATAATAATAACAGCCTAAAAATACTAAAATGGAATAAGATCGATTTACACAAAAGATAATGTTCTATTATTATATATTGATTTTTTACCTATGGGATAGTGATAGAGGAAAAAACCAAAAATATCTCATGGTACTTTTAATCGAGAAATAAATTATTTTGTGTTTATTTCCTATAATTCATCAATCTGCGCATGCCTTTGTACAGTTAGACAAAA